GTTCTAGTGACATTGTCGTACTTACTTAAATATCTGTGCGTATTCAGGATCATCACCTTCTTGAGGAACTAGAGGACCCACTCGGTGGTAAAACGTGTCACGGATCTTAAAATTGTAGATAACCTGTGGAACTTTCTCATCTTAATGAGCTTTGGATCTGACCATGGTAAAGGCAGAACCGAATTGACGAACTTTATCCAAATAATTTCTGGATATAAGTCTAACAGTCCTATTTTCAGATTGAGAGTTTCCATTAAGAACCCGAAGTTTATTGTGGTGAATTGCACAAATGAGGTAAACGAACCTTTCATTTATGGCAACAAAGAGTAGCCTACAAACTTAACTGTCTCGGCCAGTCTTTTCTTGCTTAAAAATATGTAAGCCACTACAATGTAAACATTTAACGTTCATTTGTCCGAGATTGGACTATCACAACGGTGGTACTACCACTATGTACCCATCAAATTTTCAATTGAGAGGTTGATGCAAGCGGTCGCGTTCGCGTTCGCGTTCCCTCCAGCCACTCACAGTTCTTCGTCGTACTGGTGGCATTTGATTTTAAATTGAAATGAAAGAGGAAAGTTAACCAAACAACAGAAAACACTATAAAGGAATTGGAATTTTGATACACATTGTAAATTACATGATAACTAGAGAACCCGTGCGGCTCAATGAGCCGCACAGTATGAAACATAATGCCGAGAAAAACTTTATGCTTAAATTCGAGTAATTGTAGCTACATCTTAGAGTTGTTTAAACACTTGTTAGAAACTAATTTTAAATATCTCTGTTTGCGTCGTCAAGGTCCACCTACAATATTTCTGCTCTCAGTTTTAATTGATAACTTATAATGAATGCTAAACGAACTGCTTCAATTCGAGTTAACATGTTGCAACAAAGTTTTTCCAGCATTGAGAATTGAAGAAAACTGTTGCCTTAGGCCTACTGATAACCTGTGTTTAGTAATTTAAGTTGGGTGATTTTATTTCTTTGATTTGAGACATCCCCCTAGTCAAACGAATTTTCATCGTGGATACCCTGAAAAGTGAGGTGATATCAACCATTTCATGTGCTCCATTTTTTGCCAACAGGACTGTCATAATCTGCTTTGAATAGACTAAAGCACCAACACCATTGAAAGTTGGTTAACGTATTTCAACGTGTTGTCTGTCAGTCTCACGTTTTTCAGTGGAGTTTCTCTAAATACCTGTCCCAACGTTTTGAAAGTTTGGATTCATTTGTCGAAATAGGTTGGATAACTCTTGTAGCTATACGATTTGGATAGCAATTTTCGTATTCTCTTTTTGAACAGCGTATATTATTTGCCTTTCCTAAATCATAAAAATAAAATTGACCGTAACAACTCGATCGTTGAATACATAAACACTGATTCCTTCACTTATGTTTGGTCTATTATTGCCACTAAAACTTTCAATAGCAAATGAGTTGTTGAAACTTCTTATTTTTGACTTGAAATGTCTGGATTGTGTTGATAAATTCAGTCAATAAACCTTGTATAAGTTTTTCCGAGGAACTGGCAACATAACCTAGAAGTAAACAATCCATCTGCGTTTTTCTCAATTGAAGTAGAGCGAGTAATACAAAAGTTAACAATAAAAACAAAAGGTCCACCAAGATTTGGTATAATCTTACTACTTGAACTCATCATAGTCAAGGCATTAATATAGTTTATACTAAGTGTTTTGAAATATCTTGTTTTGTCTGTGTCAGAAGGAAACATTTCTTGCATGCATTCATTAGGCAAGTTTACTTTACCACCGTGACAACATTATGTGCTTCGTATATTTTTTCACTTCCAAAGTGAGTTGCATAGCAGAACCATCGATGTATAGCAGCAGAACTGTGAAATATTATTCATATCACTAAGTGAATGTGTATCTGGATGGGTGTCTGTTAGACCAGGCCTCTCTTTTTCTACTCTCCTCATACGCATAAGATATCTTATTATTAATTGTCTCCTAATCACGTTTTCGATACTTTTTCTTTGAACTTGAGGTATTTTCTGTTCTTCCTACAAAACTGATTACCGGTTTAACTTGGTCTTAACCTACTCAATATTACAAACATTAATATTTACTCCCAAAAAGCAAAGGAGTTTCTTTTTATAAACAGCTGTTTTTTGTTTTTAATTTTGTTCTATGTATTTCTTATGGGGAAAAATCAACCTTTGAGAGGGTCTCACGCCCTTAAGAGTAGGAATTTCAAAATTCTAAAAACTTATTGCAAAACAACATATTGAGACGAATCTTTTGACACCTTAAACGTTGAAATTGGTCCACAAATAAGGGAGGAGTTGCGTTAACAAAAATCGGCTTCACGTATTATATATATAGATATGGTAATGTAACGGATAACTACCCTGTGAATAATCACTTTTAAACATTCACTTCATCAAATCGAACTCTAACTACATGATAATCAGTCAAATACGATGTAAGGTAAATCAATTTAACCATAGACAAAAAGAATTAAATATTTATTAAATATTTATTCTTAAACACTTTTTTTAATTATGGACCAGACTTAGTTGACAGATTGAAACAAAATATAAATTCCAGCTTTGCTCTGGAAGTTTTAAGTTCTGCAGTCTGTGGTTAAACTTAAAAACTATTTCAAACTACGTTCATATGTTATTTGTAAACAAAGGGAAATGAGATTGATCAGATGTCAACAGATAGCGCCGCCTTCCAAACTTTAGCCCTTAAGTGTACTTAAGTGGTGCCCTTTCTAAACATTCTGAGACGTATTTGCACATCTACGTGAAAATACCTTTAATTTGACACCTCAAACTTTTAAATCCATCAAGCCGTTATTGCGTTATGACTGTGAAAAGAAAACTGCTTGCGTATATATATATATATAACAAATAAATAAACAATGAACATAATCTAAATGCTGTTAAAAATAAGTATGATGCAAATATTGCAACAAACTTCATGGTATAAAAATTGGTTTCAACACAATCTAGATTTTACGTAATCACTGTTTACGAAAACCTTACCTGCTAACATGCTTGGTGGATATTAGCAAAATTACGCTTGGTTTCTGCACATATACGCTGGTGGAGGATTTTTCTGAGATGCTATTTTTAGACTCGGTGAAACAACAATCTATAATTACTGTTACATATATTGTGTTTTACACGTTTTCTGTGTTTTTTATTTTTCCAGTTAAATCATTGAAAAAATAGAGGTTTATGTCAAGTTACGGAAATTACGCAAGCAATGCTGCGGGCTCAACGTTGGACAGTCAAAACATAATAGGTTAATGCCCTCATGTCACCAACTTTATACAACACATCAACACGTTTCTTTGTAAAGAGATAATTTTGGTTTAGATGTTGGTATAAAGTTTACTAATAACCAAACCCACATACCCATTGTTTAAATGTTGGTGGTTGGATAGCAGTTCACCAATTAAATCAATTACCAATAAAAGTGCCAATTCTATAAAACTTAGATAGTCGATTAGTATTTTGTTTTGAAAGTCTGCATTAAGGGCAGCCCAGGCTTAAGAAGTTCTTCGGTACTGTAAATAATAATAGTATGGGAAGTTACATGTCAATTTAATAACATCTAAAACCTAAAATGTTTTGTGGATTTAAACATTTAGGAAAGGTCTACAATCCCTTTGCCTCATATTGCATTAAATTGTTTATCAGAAACATTGGTTCTATACCTTTAGCAATCTTAGTACAAATGTCAAACGACCGCCATTGATGAATACAAATTACCACCAGCGGAAGGCCTGGTTACTGTGTTCATCTCCTTTTATAGAGGAGGCCTTCTTTAATAAATTATCTTATTTTAGGTCAAGGGAAATATAATCGTTTGTCTCAAAACTGTATACAAAGGTGTCTAAATTTTAGTTTATTAGCGTATTTCCATATAGGGAAGTAGTTATTACCGTTGGCCACACGGCAAGACCTAGGTCCATGACCGATTTACTTTTTAATTCTGATGTCCCCAGAGGCCAGAAAGACTAATTTTTCAAATTGTGTATGTATATATTTATATTTATGTGTGTGTGTGTGTGTGTGTGTGTCCATGAATACGATTTCTTTCCGATTTTGATGAAATTTGGCTTGGGTGTGTAGGGCGGGATAAACTTAAATGAGTTCGCGAACTAGCATGATCGGACTATGGGAACGGGGTTTTATGGGAGTAAAAATAGGGGTTTTCCCATTTTTGGCCCTTAAAACGTAAATAAAATAAACATAAGATTTCCCAATTTCTCTTTAAACTATTTTGAAGAGCTTAAAAGACAAATAACCTAGACGTTTTTAATACGGTTTTTGGTTTCGGAAAAAATTCAAAAAGGTGTAAACTTGAATTGTCTATGTTATTCTTTTGGAGAATAAGTTAACTGTTCGAGTCCATAAATCGAGCCATTGAAAAACAAATGAGTTTTTCTTTGATTTTTTTACAATCCGTGTCTGACCGGTAATATTTCTCAAGTTTAAAAAGAAAACATTAGGTGAACCGATTTTCGTTTTTCGAGACGGGAATAATTCTACTTTAACCTTTACTTCACTCTTGCGTTAAAATACGCCCAGTTGCAATTTATATTTTACAAATCGCTAGATTTGGTTATAGGGAAATGCAAAAAAATATGCACACTTCACATCTGCTTGGGTCTGGACCCGTGTTTTGATGTATAAAATGTGGGGGAAGTCTTGAAACATAAAAGTCTTATCGGGAACAAACTTTCCATGAAGCGTAATGAAGGTGCTACTTTTATTCAATCAATTGCTCGAAAGTCAAATCTGAATCAATCTATTGCTAGTTAAGAACTACAAGATAAAAATCTATTCTATAGCCTGGTGTTTTCTTTTTCTGTAATTCATTCAGGAAGTGTCAAAATATTCAATGATTTATTCAAAGCCACTAACTGCAACCTTAAGGCACCTACAAAAAATGCAGTCAATTTACGAAATAACTAATGATTTTTGACGAGGGTATAGCAGATGAAATTCAATATATTAATAACTAGAATTTTATTGGTAACATAAGACATCATGAGACTAGAACTTGTTTAAAGAGATTCAAGCGAGAGATACAGGAAATAGAAAATTGGAAAAAGAATGAACATATAACAAATTTCATGTTTACATATTTAGCTTAACTTAAAATTGGTGTGAAATTAAACTGTTCGAAACCAAAAAAGGCAAACATTTGTTGATTGAGATGAAGGCATGATGACAAAAAACGCATTTAGTTGTTTAAAGTTATAAAGAAATTGGGCAAACAATTTCTCTGGTGGTGACGTTCTACCACCAGCCTGAGCCGTAGCTCTTGATGACTATCGGTGAACTGTAACTTTTGTAGATGGGGTAGCTGCTATAGCTCTTGTAGACGGGGTAGCTGCTGTAGCTCTTATAGATGGGGTAACTGCTGTAACTCTTGTAGACGGGGTAGCTATGGTAGCTTTTGATGATGGGGTAGCTATGATATCCTCCCAGAAAACCTGCGTCGACTGCGGCAAAGCAGGCGACGACCAGCAGCAGCGCAAGCACCTGGCCATGGGCAGTACAAGCAAAATCAATATTGGAAACAGTATAGAAACATTTAGATTTTACACATTACCAATTAAATTAATTGAATTTTATGTAATATTATTATCTGCAATTCAAACAATTAGATGCATTATTGACAATGAACTATCTTATTAACGCCTATCGGTGCGATGATGATTGGAGTGCCCAACCGAAATCCACTTACCACTTACCATTTTTATATAATACTAGCTGTTCTGCCCGTGCCTCGCCACGGCGAAGAGAAGATATAGTGATTCTTCACCGCCTCGCCCAATGCAAACTGCTGGTTTGTTAAGCGCTTATTCTTGGTATAAATTAACTTTTATATATATTTATCCTCTTGTGAGTTAACAATCTAGGTGTAAATATATGTTTCAAGTGTATTTTTAGCAAATTTTCCCTATAGGGAATAAGCTATTACCGTAGTACTCATGGTAAGACCTGGTCCAGGGACCGATTTACTTTTTCGTTTTGAGGGCCCTAGAGACCAAAAACACCATCCGTCCAAATTCATATATATATATATGTGTGTGTGTGTGTGTGTGTGTGTGTGTCCTTTAGCACGATAACTCGAGCAAAAATCATCCGATTTTGATGAAATTTGGTACAAACGAGTAAATCTGCGTTTATTCGAACGAGTTCGCGAACCAGCATGATCGGACTATGGGAACAGGGGTTTATGGGGGGTTTTATGGAGCAAAAATTTGCTTTTCCCATTTTTGACCCTAAAAACTTAAAATTTAGCATTTTCTTTCCAAACCATTTGGTAGAGCTTAAAAAAAAACAAATAATTTAGTATATTGAAGCGTTATTATGCACCTAATGGTTACGGAGAAAATTCCAAAAAACTGTAAACTTAAAATTCCCATGTTATTCTTATGGAGAATAAGTAAACTGTTGTAGTTTGCTTGTTTATGATCATATTTTGATCAAATTTGGGAAATGCATTATTTTAATATTAAACTATTAACATTTTACAAAAAAAAACACCTTTTTACCCTCCCTGTTGCATCAAACGTAAGTACTCGTTAAACTAATGTTATTTAAATAGGGAATAAATGTGATATTTTTAAGGAGACATTTTAGTGTAAATCCAATCAGGCAAATGGAAATTCGCTTAGTCTGCAGGTTTGCTGCGGCGGGGGTATTTGTTTACTTCCGTAAATTTAATAAAACGTACAATGCTAATCAAGAAGCTATCTAGTTATAACCATGTGTAAACTTAAAGCATCATTTTGGATCTTCACGGTCATTTAGAAGGTATTAAGAGATATATTAATTGTCTGATTTTTGGACGAAAAGAATTATTGGCTTTAATAGTACCGTAGTTACATAACTATTTTAACTACTATGAACCATTATTCATATTGGATGATAGGCATTTATACTGTTTTACGCCACGCTACTGTTTTAACAGACTTCCCACGCAAGGATTTAGTCCAGAAAACAGCTGTTTGCCACCAGCTTAATCAAATGGGGTTTCATTACCTACTACTGTCCTGTAATGAGTTTTACCGGACACCAATCAACTGATTATATTTGACAATGAGTGATTAAAAAGAAAAACATGACCTCTCTTAGATGTTAAAAGTAGTGATTGTTAGTCCTTTAGTCGGTAAGAATAAACAAGGATTTGCACAGATTTTTATCGTCACGTTAGCTTAGAGTAGTATGGCGTAAAATATCGTACGCCACTCGTCCAAAATGTGTTTACCAGACTCTTATGGTAATCCCGCACTCGACTTCGTCTCGCACGGGAACGATCACACTCGTCCGGTAAACACATATTTTCAGGTCTAGTAACGTATACTATTGATTAAAAGAAGAAAACATGAATTTGCTAACAAGTCACCATAAATATATCTAATTGAGTGACAGGCGACAGAGGTCGGCAATATTAAATGACCGGTTTGCAATGTACGTGTTGGACGGCGACGGCTTGTTGCGAGACATTCACTAATGAGTGATTACCAGAATCCGTATCAAGTTTGCAGCTTTGCTCCACACCACACCCCGCGCTATAGAACAGGTTGACCATTCACTGGGAATCGCAATTTGCAGGGTTGACATACTTTTACTACATTTCTCTACTAAGAGTTATGCAACCTGTGACGTAGCAACCTACAACAAAACCTACGTTCTGAAAATTTCAACTTTACCCAACAACAATACTGGTTGACAAACCCAGTCAGCCGAGAAGTGATTTTTCGTAAAGATAGATAGGAGGACGAGGATTGACATTCCCATGTCGTGAAGAAGCTAGTTTACAAGGTGGTACAAACACAATGAAAAATTATAACTATTTCATGTCGGTGTCCCAGCAAGCCAAAACTCTATTCCTTAGATTTCCTAGATAAAGTACTGTAAAAAGCACTATCATCACTATTTTCTAAACGCCAATGGAAAATCAGAACGCATGTTTTGTAGAATGTTTTGCTAGAAATTAATCAAACAGGACCCACCAATCATCAGTGTCATAGGTGTCTCGATTCTCTTCAGTTCTAAAAACAAGTATGGAAAATTCAACAGCTTTCAACAAAATTCAACTAACTAAAGCTTGGTTAATTTTGCTGAATTTAGGTTTTACTTGACAAACTCAAGCTTTTATCGTTTATGTAATTAATTATCAATATTTTGTCCAATGCCCAACATTGTAAGCATTTGTATAGACAAACGGCACTAAATGGCCATTCTTTTATATGAAGTTAATAGTATAAAATTTTTTTCAATTCTGAATGCCTAGACTATTTGCAATATATAATTATAGAATTTTGTTTGGCGAGTAACTTAAAATTGGCCTCCCAAACTGCAATGAAAGAAAATTTCCGTTCATTGAGCAGTTTATTGTTACAAAACATAAATACAGGGTGTCTCAAAAAGAAGCTTCGACGTTTGATTTGATATTACAATCCTATTTATGGACAGAACCCTTTGGAACAACATATACAATGTAGAATTTTAAGATATTTTGGGAAGATTTCAGCTTCATATAAACGTATTATAAACAAAATGGAATGTTGAACATTTTATCAATTTACTTCCTACAAAAATATTGTTCAAGTCATTGCCTGATTTGTTTACTGCGTTGTAGTTTTGATACTTATTTTTAGTTGGGAGTTTGATTGAAGGATGCTGTTCCATAACTATTATTAACTTTATCGAGCGCAGTTTAATTAAACCAAATTAGAAGAAATGACTTGATGTTAAACACACAGTAAAACATTGTGCAAAGGATATGCCTTTTGTTAAAGTTACAGAAGCAGTTAGACTAACCTTTTACAGCTCTCCTACCAGTTTCCAAGAAAAATAGTTGTCAACTTAGTAATTGTTGGATAGCTAAAACTCTATTTTTCGCCATATTGCATCACTAATTAATTAACAAACTAAGCTAGAAAACAAAAACACTTTCATGTAAAGATTATCTCCCAAAACGACTTCCAACTTGTTTTCAATTCTGCTAATGTGAATAAGCAGCTGTGTAGTAAGTGTTTCAATCATTTTGGGGGTGTTACTGTAGCCTTTATTATACCATCGATATGTCGGACTATTGAAACAATGCAACAATATCAACAATAAGCTCAAACATAATCTAAGAAATCAATCGATAAATTATTTCAATCCATGCGATTGCTTACAATCGAAATTAACAACTGTGTACAACAGCTAACTTTTACTCACTAGGTACTAAAAAGGCTTTTTACTCCCTGGGGATTAATATAGCTATTTTAGACCCACAACGCATTTATTAAAAACTGCTGTTTTTGCTGCAGTATGACGAAAAAGCTTGTAAAAGCATAGGTAGTAAAAGTCAGCTGTTAAAAACTTGGTGATAAAGAACGATTGTTAGCAATCGCACGTTTTGAAAGTATAAATCGATTGTTTTAATCGGTTACTAGGCAGATGCTTGTTTGCATTAGCAAAATTGAAAAAAAAGTTGGAAGTCGTTTTGAGAGGTTATCTTTAGGTGAAACGTATTCTTGTTCCCTAACTTAGTTTTTTTTTTTTTTTTTTTATAATGCTGCGATATTACGAAAAATGTTGTTCATTACAACGGCAAACAGTGCATTCTCAAACCATCGCTTTTTCTTTAATTAGTTTTTACTTGAGCTTGTGCCTCTTTACGCCCAAGCGTAAATAGTGATGACATTTACTATTTTATAAGAAGCTCCCAATCAGTGAAATTTTCAATATGCCAAAATTTCTGTCCTAAAAAACGTTAGGAAGCTTAAAGCTTTTAAAGAGTGTTTTCAATACATATTATATGAATTGTGTAAATGTTAAAAGCTTTCACTGCATAAATAGGCCAACAATAAAAATCTAATTTGTAAACCTACTCGTAGGACACCCTGTTTTTTTTTCTGTCCAGTCATTCATTATGATTACGATTTACGGTATACAAATGTTGTATTACTGCACCAGCTAAAAGTGTATATAACCGTTAAATAAAATTTAAAATTTGTGTATATTATTTTAAAAATTAGAATGCATTTCAAAAGTTATATATATGATTTTAAATTGTCTTTTAAAAAAATAATCATTGGGGCTGATGTTTGTCATAATGTAAACAAGATCCTGGTTTCAAGTCATTTTTGCATAGTACCTAGTAAAATATTTTATGCTAGCTTGAAGCTGTTTCCCAAATCATTTTCAACAAATGTTTAAGGTGTTGGTGGCTTATTTTAACCTTGCATATGCCCGTCCACATAGACTTTGGGCCTGTTAAATTATTCTAAAAATTGAATTATTTAGTAGAATTTTAAAAATTTGCGGGTTTTCTGATAACGTGTGAATATAAAAACTGAATAAAAAACTATTGGCTCATAGCAAACAATTTAACTTGTAAAATCGACTGAAATGCAAAAATAATAAAAAAATGATTGTTTGGTACTTCAAATTACGTGATTTTACCAAATATATAATTAAGATTTAAATTGTATTAATCTAAATTTATTTGACCACTTACATTACCATTAAAATTACTTTCTCTGTTGTAAGTGCAAGCATGTATGATGCGAGTAAGTTACAGATTTTAAACAGTTTAATTCTATTAAGAAAGACTAGCAGCCGGCGTCAATTCACTTTGGTGTCACTACACCAAAAGCCGTGATATATTTGAATTAATTTACAATTTTCTATCTTAGTTAAGTTGAAAACTATCTATTTTTTACGCCATAAGCGTTTACTTATCACTGATTTGAAATATTTTCAAGCAACCCCTGAACATAAATTTGTGATTAGTTTTCCAACACAATATTTAATGTTGTATAAAAAATTAAACAAACTTTGATAAAAAAAATCCAACAAAATCTTTTAATAACATAGATAGTAAAATTTCGTGATGTACATAGTGTTGTACTTACGGTGGATCTCATAGCTATGGAGGTGTGGTACTCTGTGGCGACCACTGGTCATTCCTCGCCTTATATACCTGGCACACTGTCCAAACACACACACACGCACACACACTCTGAACCCTCCCCCCACGTGGCTTCACAACACGTAAAACCGAAATTGCAGAATAACCAACTGTCTTATAGCAATTTAGGTTCTACAGAACGAGTCACTTTCAGGTGCATTTATTATTGTGGACTTTGCATGGATTATGCACAATCCATGTAGAATGTGACCTTTCTAGGATAAGATTTGTAACCAAAGCTCTACGTATCAATTACTCAGATATTCACCATTAACCTGAACCCATGGTTACAATTCACGGTATTCTAGTACTAGTATCTAAAGTATCCTCTCAGTTTTCAATATTTAAAATTAGACCTTACAGTACAACTTACAGTAATGTTTTTTTCTGCTTTATACACCAAAATATAATTTTTAAATGTCATAAATTTACATCAATTTTTAGTTTGAGTTTGGCTTATTACACTCGCTGCCCGCTGGTTTTACGATGTGCAGTAGCAGTACGAAGTACGTCACGTTATAAAATGTACGCTTTCGTATATTGTATTTTATTTCACTCCGTACTGATTGTAGAGCAGTTTCCTACTTGGTTTCCACACCACCATGCAAGGTAGGCAACTTACCAAAGGAAGCAAACCTACTCCAAAGAAACATTTCCGGGAAACACAACCGCCAGTTTTTTTTTTTCGGCTCGTTAACATTCTTATGGGAAAAGATAAATTGTTTAACCTGAGTAAGAACATTGCTACGTTTACTATGGACTGCGTATGACGGATTATGTCTTCTGGCCCTCCTTTACCTGGGGTCTGGCCATTGGTTTAAGTTCCGACGAACGACGAAGGGTCAGAAGACAGGTTCCATTATACAATGATGTTAAAATAATCTCCAATCTTCCGTGTAGTAGCAGTTGCGCCGAGTAGCATTTGCGCCGCGGATTAAATCGTGCTTCCAGCGCCGCGGAGTTAGATTAGTTCAATGATGCAGAAGTGACGAGGGTCATAATTACTTACACATTACTTGACTGAGTTGATTGTAAATAGTGTCGTTTTCCATGCTCCTAATTAACTTGTACTAGTAGTGCATTATTGCACATAAAAAATGATTAAACACTTGTATACCCCCACATGCAGTATTGAGTTAGTATAGATATTTTTCCTGAACTATAATTATTATAACCAGTAGACATTTCTACTTATCACATTACTAATTTAGGAGAAAGGGGGACTTTTGTTTTCCTATGAAGTTTTTAGAAAATAGTTGCACCAGGATAGTCTGCGGTGCTATGAGGAATGCAAACAGCTCGGCATTTTGGTATTAGGGGGATTTGCTAGGGGTATATATATCCCCATACCTTTCGTAGTAACCCAGTCCCTTATGTTTCTTTGGTCACTCAATGGTGTTGTCATTGTCAGTTTCGAGTAGAATTTAGCAGAATGAACATCGTAGAATCCACAAAGAAGGGCTCGGTTTTCAATCATTTCGTCTACTACAATTGACCTACTGTACATTATATCATCGATATGTCGTGCAATTGATAAGAATGCAACAATAAGCTACAATAAAACCTTTCTGAAACCTCTAACCGAATAAATGAATCGATAAATAATTTCGAACCATGCAATTGCTTACAATCGACATTTACAACTGTTCACAACAGTTGACTTGTACTCCCTAGGGACTAAAAAGGCATTTTACTACTGGTGATTAAAACGTTATATAGTTTAGACCCATATGGTTTCGTATTTTGTTTGCTATCTAAAGGTTATACATCGAAGTAAAGGATCACGGGTTCATACATAAAACCCCATTATAAAAAGGTTTGTCATAATTACAGGTTCTAAAAAAGTTATCCATGTAAATAAACCAATAACTTGAGGGGGGCAAGCCCAAAATGACACTTTTAGCTACCATTCGTCCCTCTGCTATATCATAAGATGTACAAGGACACCTACATCGAAAACATTGGTTAATCAAAACGGGTGAAAAGTTATTTCACAAAAAACCTTATGGTATCAGGTACACAGTTTCATTGTGTGTTAAAACTTAGCTAAACTAAACAGACAATACCCCCGCCGCAGCAAACCTGCCGACTAAGCGAATTTCCATTTGTCTGAATTGATTTTCAATTAAATGTATATAAATAAAATTAGGTTTAACGAGTACCTAGGTTAGCTGCTACAAGGAAACGATTAAAGTGGAGTTTTAGTAAAATGTGGATAGCTTAGTATAAAATAAATAAATTTGCCAAGTTTGATCAAAATATATCCATAAACAAGCAAACTAAAATTACTCAAGTTATCGCGTTCACGGACGTATATAAATGTATACAAAATGAAAAAGTAAATTAGTCACGGGCCTAGGTCTTACGGTGCCACCTACGGTAATAGCTACTTCCCTATAGGGAATTTGCTAAAAAACATCCATTTTTTGCGAATTTAACATTATGGTACAGAAGACGTAAGTATCGTTAATTTATTTATATTATACCTATATGTGTAGGTTAATATCAACAGGTTTCATTCCGATATCGGTGATACCTTCATGCCAAATTTAATCAAAATCGCACGAGAAGCGATAGGCATAGGCCGGGAGCGCGCCCGAGTTCACGTGCAAACCTCGCACTGCCAAGTTGATGATTTTAGCGAATTTCCCTATAGGGAAGTAGCTATTACCGTAGGTGGCACGGTAAGACCTAGACCCGGGACCGATTTACTTTTTCATTTTGATGTCCCCAGAGGCCAAAAACACTATTCGTTCAAATTTTTATATATGTATATATATATAGACTTATATATATATATATATACGTCCGTGAACGCGATAACTTGAGTAACTTTTGTCCGATTTTGATGAAATTTGGTTTAAAGGTGTAAAGCAGGATAAACTTGAATGAGTTCGCGAACCAGCACGATCGGACCATGGGAACGGGGCTTTACGGGGGGTTTTATGGGGTAAAAATTGGTTTTTCTCACTTTTGACCCTCAAAACACAAAATTTCCCAATTTCTCTTTAGACCTTTTTAAAGAGCTTAAAAAAACAAATAATTTAGTATATAAAAGTATTTTTGTTCGATTATAAGTAACGGAGAAAATTAAAAAAATTGTAAATTTAAAATTCCCGTGTTATTCTTATGGAGAATATTGTCAAATGTTGTAGTTTGCTTGTTTATGAATATATTTTGATCAAACTTGGCAAATTTATTTATTTTGTACTAAGCTATCAATATTTTACTCAAAAACACACTTTATTAGTTTCCTTGTAGCAGCAAACCTAGGTACTCGTTAAACCTAATGTTATTAAAATATATTTAACTGAAAATCAATTCAGACAAATGGAAATTCGCTTAGTCGGCAGGTTTGCTGCGGCGGGGGTATTTAAAATATTCGTGGGAATGGATGGGGATTTGTAATGTTTATTGGGTTGTACAATAGTATTGAACATTTGCATGGGCTTGTATAGGCCGAAAGCAGGGTTTTTAGAAAATGGCTAAAAAAACTCACCCATGTTATTCTTATGAAAAAGTGCCTAAAGTGAGGTCATATTACCATATTATATCTTCTTTACATTTAATGGGTCAATAAATGAAAGAATTAGCTTTTTTAGCTTGATTTCGAATATAGTATATGAGGATTATATGTAGGGATATGTAGGCAAAGATCAGGATTTTTGGAATTAGTGGCTAAAAAATGATCCTCATGTTATTTTTATGGGGAAAACTCCTAAAGTGGGGTATCTTTGTGGTATTGCCACTACACGTTTTAGAGAGTTATTTTGTAAACTTAATATGTACTTGTATTTCTAGACTTAAGATAAACTTAAATTGATATAAGGCCTGTCTCAACTCCCAGGCTTCACGAAGCGCAATGTACCAAACCTGGTACAGAAACAAACTATTTTTTTCGTAATTTCCTCTCTTTTGAGTTATTGGTAATTAATTGGTTTAGGTAGCCCTTATACTGAAACGGCGGAGTGTACTGTGTTTTGTTGTCAACCAGTGAACGATATTTGCAGATATGTTTGGTGTCATCAATTTTGCAGTTAGGCCTATTAGATTTAAAATTATGTGTAACCAGCATGGGTCACGAGGTGACTGCATGCAACCACTTTACGCTGAAAGTAAAATGTGGTAGGAACATAAGTCCTCAATAATCCTATTAGTGCAGTTGATTGGTTCCGCCTTTGTTAACCTGTCAAAACTGCTAACCCTCATTTAATTAGCTGGCGCGGCGCTGGTGCTACGCGGCGCAAATACTACTCGGCGCAAATACTACTCAACCCCAATCTTCTATTAGCTATAAGGTTCCTATTTACGTATGCCAGAAGTTACTTTATTTTGAAATACTAATTAATAATATCAATCGAAGAGTCGACGTTAAACGGCAACAAGACCTTTTGATTCACACTTTATTTCTTGTTATTTTAGTTATGGCAATAATACTTTGGCAAAATAATACCCCCAACACGGCAAACCTGCAGACTAAGCGAATTTCCATTAGTCTGATTAGATTTTAACATAAATCTTTCCTAGATGATTATCTATATAAAATCTAATGTATGTTTCTTTGTTTGTTTGTTTGTTTGTCCTTTATGGACTTTGAAACCGCTCGACAGATTGTAATGAGACTTTCAGGCATTATTAAGCATTATTCAAGGATAGATTGTGTGAAGTTTGGTGCAGATCCGTCAAAAGGGCTGGAGTTTCCCATGTTAACCTTACGAATACTCATATTTAAATGGAATTAAAGAATCTTAACTGCTGGTTCAACTAAACAATTTGATTCTGTGATCTTCAATAGCATTAAAAAATTAATAGGTTTAGCAACAAGGTGCAGCACTATTATTTATTTTTTTTTATTTATGACAACAGCTAATTTGCTACCAAAATGTGAGTGAGCGTAGCGAACGAACTTTAACCTGGAGATGAGTTAGCGTAGCGAACGAGCTAACCTGAAGCACAGAAAACATACTACTATAACCTTAGTAGTATGTTATAGTAGTATGTTTTCTGTGCCTG